AGGATTACAAGAAGAATTTCGCAAGGAGGCTTCTTTTGAAAATGAACTCTACTACTGCGCTGCTCATTTCTCTTGCAGCCAAAAATTGTGCATACGCAAAGCTCTGGTTGGTATCATTGAGACAACAATTAAGTTTCTGCCATTTTGAAGGTCTAGAATTCTCAGAAAAGTCTTGTGATGATTTCATTACCTGAATAAGTTACCTAACATAGGAGTTAAGAATGATTCAATGACTGCATAGGAGCATAAAACTGATTAGCTTTGCTCAAGAGAAAAACAATAGCTGACACAACCACTTTTATTAGTTATTGTATTGCCACTCTATAAAAACTGGGTAGTATTGGGGGGGGGAAGAAATTTCCTCTACCCCTTGAGGTTCTTCTACCTGGTCCAAGAATCAAACTGACATGAGACAGATTAAGGAGAAAAAAAGAGGTTTAATTATGTATGTATGGGGAAGCCATAGACAGATTCCAAAGATGGTCAGGGAGAATGAGGTATGCATGTCATCCTGAACCAAGGAGAAGGGAATAGGGGTCTGAGACTTCAAAAGTAATTCACAGGAATATGAAAAGAGTAAATATTTTATAAACAAGTATTTCCTGGGTCACACAGAAGCAATGGGGCACAAGGAGACATTTTAACAGACCTAGCCACATCACTCCCTGCTCACCACACCTGGTTTATATTATAACTGCTATGGTGATAGCTCTCCTCCTGGAGAAGTTCCTCTGTCTAAATTCTTTTTATGCAGTTGGAGAGTGGAAAGTCAAAGTTTCTTTCTGAGTATTTCAAGCCTTGATTGTTTTCAACTCTGAAATAACCTGTATGTCACAATGGCACATCTTGGGGCGGCCTGTTCTTGGTCCCTACAGTAGCTTTTACATTTTTTTTAAATGATAGTTTCACTATGCTGAATTACAATCACTTTGTTGAATGCTAAGCATTATTTAATTTATTACTTTTTGAGGAAATTTGTATAAAATCACTCTGTAATTGTATAAAGTTAAAACAAATTATAACACACTGTTTGCCAAGATTTAGAGCATAGCTTATCTTTTTATTTTCCTTTTAATCTATGTATATTTGGTTAATAAAAATAAACACAAAAATAGTTACCTTCTTTCAACAGAAAAGCAGTCCAACTCTCCATCAAGAAGCCAATCTTTACAGGAAAGGTGGGGTGACAGAAAGTCACTTTGTTTCTATTTAAAAATAAATAAATAAAAGTGAAAGGAAAAAGCAATCATTATTTCTTTAATTTCTATATATGGTTTGACTAACTTTTACTAACCCAATCCCCTATGTTCAGTACAGATTAAAAGAAATATTTAGATCATTTTAACTTTTCAGTGGATGTGGATTCTATCAGGAATGAACTTTTAATTTATCTTTAATTGAATCTTGGTGTTTACACTAAAAAAATCACATGGTACTGAGAGGCATGAAAGAAGAGTTGAAGAAATGGAGAGATATGTCCTATTTGTGCAAAATTGACCCTTCAACCATCTGTGCAATGCCAACTTCTGCCAGAAGTTAGCTTCCTTAAGCTGTGAGAATACCTGGAGATCTCCTGGTTCCCTCAACTAGTCAACTAGTATCTTTGGAATTTCTCTTTCAATATGAGTCACCTGTCATCATCTTTCTACATTTCAAACTCTACACATCACTTTCTCTCCAGTTGCCTTTGCCTAAAAATGATCCTTTTCCCACCATTTTCTGTTCTTGGCAAGATACAGCACTTTTTCCCCAGATCACACAAGCTCAAGGGTAAGGTAGGATCACAGTAAATCTCCCAAATCCATGCCTCTGACTCAGTATCTGCCTCTACCTGCATTTCAAGAGCTCCAGTTTCCCTGCTGAACACCTCTGGGTGCCCCAAAGCCTGCCTCATGGGTGCTCTACAAAAAAATCCTCTTGGTAACCTACATGCTTAGTACCATTTTGCTCCTCGAGTGGTGATTTTCCCTGGGATTGCTAATGAACAAAACAGCAGCCATGCTGCCATACCCACTGATGTGCCTACAGCTATGAGGACCCACCAACAGGTACCAGTGCTGACAGAACCTGCAAAGGTCTACCTAGTAGTCCTTACCTTTGACACCCCCAAAGCCTTGTCACTAATGCTGCTGAATTTCTATTCTCAGTGATAAAGCCACTATAATCTCTGTGTCATTTTTCACTGCAGCTATGATTTTGAGTCTGAGAGCTGAGCTGTAGAACTATATGCACAAGCCTCTACTATATTCCTATCTGCAAACTATGAGGCTGCGCAATTGTCTTTTTAAATCAAACATAACCTCCTGAAAAATCTCCCCTAATTTAAATAATTAAGCATGTACTCTGCCTTTTTAGGGAAAACTTAATTCATCTCCAGTTAATAAAGGAAAGCTGTCCTTTTGTGATGAATGCTAGATAATGATATATATGCACCCTCATGTTTATTGCTGGATTCTTTATAATAGAAACGATAAGGAAGTAACCGAAGTGTCCATCAATAGATGGATAAAGAAGATGTGGTACATATGTGCAATGTAGTATTACTCAGCCATAAGAAAAGAAGGACAACATGGATGGACCTAGAGGGTATCATGCTAAGTGAAATAAGCCAGGCAGAGACAAATACCATATGATTTCACTTACGTGTGGAATCTAAAAAAAAACCACCCAAACAAAAAAGAAATAGACTCACAGATATAGACAACAAACTGTCACTTGCTATAGGGAAGGGGGTGAGAAGATGGGTGAAATAGGTGAAGGGGATAAAGAGGTACAAACTGCAAATGGCAAAATAAGTTAGACATAAGAATGGAAGTACAACATAGAAAATACAACCAATAATATTATAATATCTTGTTATGGTATTGGAGTAACTACACTTATTGTGGCAAGCATCTAGTAATGTATATAATTATTGAGTCACTATGTTGTATATATGAAGCTAATATAATATTGTATATCAATTTTATTCCAATAAAACACACACACACACAAGAATGCTAGATAATAATAATAATAAATGCAGATGAAATTACAAAATCAGAAAATCCCCATTTGGCAAACCCTGCCTCTCAATGAAATAATTGATTCAGGCAATAATCATCACTGGATGTCAGAAAAAAATTAGCAAATAAAACAGATACAGCACTTACTGAATTAGTGATGGGTAAATTCTTTCACCCTCCGTATGACTAAAATTTTTTCAGTAAAGTCAGGGCAGGGGTAAAGTCTCCCTTGATTTAAGATGAGGTCTTTCTCATTAGGATTGGTGTTCCCTTGTGTAAATGGAACCCTAGTCATCTAGGCATGCCCAGATATACTGACTTCTGAGGTGAGCACAGCTTAAGCCTGAGCTGCAAACCCTGCTACACTTACAGTCATAATTTCTGACCTAATGCGCCCCTCTTTCTGATGCTTTCAGCTGTTTCCTCTCATCTGCCTTAAGAGTACTCCCTGAAAACAAGTATGAATTTACAATTGCATAGTCACAACAGGGCACAAACCGGAACCATCTGCAGAGCTTTTTCAAAATAAACACACCCTGAGCCTGCCCCTTAGATATTCAATTCCCTAGGTCTTGGAGGCAGGGAAGGGGACCCATGCACATCATTTAGATAGTCCCCAGGTAACTCTGATGTCCCTCTCTGAAAGACAAGTGCTGCTCTGAAACTTAATATTATAACTAAAGTGAATATTTAGGCTTTTATCTGAAGAGTCTATATACCTCCTAAGAGGGATGGGGACTGATTTAGAAATCAAAAAGATAAAGGTCAAATTAGGAAACTAAAGTTCAAATTGTTGGCATGGTAGTTATTATTGCTGCCTACTGATGTCTAATTCTCCACTCTTTCCAAAACCCAAAACACCACACTTCCCCTGCTTGTGTGAAGTTAAAGCTGGCCGTGTTACTGGCTTTGGCAAGTGAAATATAAGCAGCAGTGGCATGTGTCACTTCCAAGCATAAGTCTTCAAGAGACGGTACACAAGTCGCCACATCCCTTTTTCGTGCCTTGGTGATGGTGGAAGTATGGGGCAAGATGGGTATTAGCTGAGATCCCTGAGTTACTGTGATAAAAGGCCTCTGTCATCCCAGGGAGGACATGAAATGGGAGGAAGAAATCAACTTTTTTGTGAGAAATCATTGATATATGAAAGTTACTCATTTATGCAGCATAATCTATTCAACTCTGACAATAAACTGGTAAATCTTTTTTTTTCACAGTCTAAGCAATTTAAGGAGCGTAAGTTCCATCTTCATCAATGACTAAAAATTTACAGAGACAGTTTGAATAGAGGGAAATGAGGGAGCTTTAGGGTCAAAAAGACCTAAGTTTAAATCCGTGGCATCACTTGTTTGTTGTAATAATAAAATAGTATGTATTGACTGTATAATATACAATTACTTTAAATAACCACTAACATTTATGAAGTACATACTATGTACCAGGTACTGTGCTGAGCACTTTACATGGATTAGTTCTCTTTTCCATTTTACAGACAATAAAAATAAAGTTTAAGGAAGTTAGAGAATTTTCCCAAAGTCACAGAGCTAGACTAAATGATGGCACAAGGATTCTAATACAGGCCATAGGGCTGCTACTTATACTGCCTCCCAGGACTTGGTCCCCTCGAATACCAGTTTTCAATTTAGAATGGGGTGGAGAGCTACCGCCAGGGGTTTTATGAGGACTAAAGGAGATAATTGGATAAACAATTAATATGATTCCTGGCATACAGTAGGTATTTAAGACATGGTAGTTATTATTTTTTAGCAGCTAATATGTCACTCACTTGCCTCTTCAATAAACTTAGTATGAAAAAAGGTAGCAATGAATGAAAACCTGTCATGACCGCGGGGATTCAGCACTGTAAAAAGTAGGTAACACAGGTACAGTAATCAAACTTATATTACCATGCTTTCATTAGTTAATGGCCAATATTGAAATGATCATGTTAAGTTATTAAAGAAGGTTTTTAAAATAAAGATACAGGGTACAAACAAATAGCACCCATAAAATTCCTAAATGGTACAGTAACTGCATCCAGTAGCCCCAAGGCCATTATGTCTGAAGGCCCAATAAAAAAGATTTCAAGGATACAGATGTTTTATGCTGTTTTTCACCAATGTTATACTGGGATTGATTCCTTTCAATAACCTTATGTTCAAATATTGATAAACTCGGTAAGGCAATGTGACTACATATTCCATGTGAAACCATTTGTTCTGGGTCTTTTGTTTAACTTCCTCTGTTTTGTTCCCTTATGTAAGAACGTAAGAGTACAAGTACAGATTTTCTACATAGACAATCATATCTTCTGCAAACAAGGACAGTTTTGCTTTCTCCCTTCCCAATCTGTATTGCTTCCATTTATTGTTATTGTATTAGTTAAGACTTCAGTCTGATGCTGGAATGGAGTAGTGAGGAGAGTCATCCTTGTCTTGTTCCTGATTTAGTGGGAAAACGTCAAGCTTTTTACCATTAAGTATGATGTTCTCTGTAGGGTGTTTTGTTTTCATGTTCTTTATCATGTTGGGGAGGTTCTCCTCTTTTCCTTTTCCTCGCTTGCTGAGAGTTCATCCACATGATGAATGATTATTGGATTTTGTCAAATGCTTTTTCTGCATCTATTGATATAATCATATTTCTTCATTAGCCTGATGATGCAATGGATTACATTAACTCATTTTCAAATGTTGAACCATATTATGCCATTCTTTTTACACCTTACTGGATCTGATTTACTAACACTGTGTTGAGAACTTTTGCACCTATGTTCATGAGAGATACCAGTCTGTAGTTTCCTTTTTGTAGTGTAAGCCTCCACTGAGACTCCCTTGTTTTAGAAATCTTGGTTGATTTTGACAACTGATCATTTGAGCCACTTGCCTTTTCTCTTGCCGTGCTTTAAGTTCCCACTGCTGTTTTAAATTCACCAATAGAGAGTGAGGCCTGGACACCCTAGGTCCCCACCCTCAACCCCAATAAAAGCAGAACCCCTGTCCCAGGCACTCTCCCTCTACCTGTTACCTCACTGTGTAGACCCAAGTGTGCTGTGCAATTTCCAGGTCTTCCAATTAATAAATCTCTGTTTTTTTCAAAGTTTCCTAATGGTTGTTGCTGAAGGGCATCTTGCAGTCATGGTAAGAACCACCAGGGCTGGTCCAACCACAAAACTGGTTACTGATAAGCTGAGACGTACACGAAACAATTTTCTTGTAATGTCTTCGATTTTGGCATTAAAGTATGAGTTTGACCTCATAGAATGAGTTAAGAAGTATTTCTTCTGCTTCTATCTTCTTGAAGAGATTGTAAGGAATTGGTATAACTTCTTTCTTAAGTGTTAAGTAGAATTCACCACTGAACCCATCTGGGTCTGGTGCTTTCTGTGTTAGAAGGTTATTAATTATTGATTCAATTTCTTCAACAGATATAGGCCTATTCAGATTTTCTATTACATGATCTTTTGATAAGATGGGTCCATTCCATCCCTCTTGTTAAGATCTTTTGGTGGCTTCACAATTATGTTCTCAGATGAACATATGCCTTTTAGCCTATGGTCATCTCTTATCACTCCCACTCCCCGAATATCTTACCTCTTGTATTTTCCCCAAAATATCAAACTCTGTCATTCTCCTAGGCATGTACAAGGGCTTTTCTGTATTTCTAAAGCATCCTTTTCTAACTTGTATTTATCTTACTAAGCTCAGCTTTCTGTAGAAGCCCTTCCTGCCATGTCTCCAGGCAGGTGAGCTGCCTCATTCCTTGCACATTAGAAAAACAAAAATTGGTCTTTAAAATACGAGAAGAAATACAAACTTTTAAATGATTATTTAAAATTTTCAATGTGGTTCAAGATGTGCAATGACAAAAACTGTAAAATATTCACCTGGTTGTGTATTATGTCCTTTATAAATTTGATATCTAAGACAGACACATTTGACACAGCATATCAACAATGATACATATACTGAACAACAAACAAGTACTCATTTAGGTGTATGCTTAGATGTGTTACTTCCTCAGAAGTATTTGTATGTATATGAAATGTGTGAATCTTTTTGTTTCTTTTTCTTTTCTGAATGATTAAGAGCTTAAACTCTGGAGTCACATAGACTCAGGGCAAACACCACTTATAATCTGTGAGATCTTGGGCAAGTTGTTAAACCCTGTCTATTTCCTCATGGGATAAAAATAAACAGTAATTGGTAGTGATGGTAAATGATGGTAATATTACTTTAATTATTTAAAAGTAATGTCAATATAGAGGCCTCTCTTTCCTTCCACAAGTGTTGGAAAAATATTTTTTACCAAGAATCCTTAGCACCCTGTGAATAATAAGCCTGTTGAATAGAGAAGCCCTTCTCCAATATTGTTCGCTTTTATTCATTTTTATAACTTTGAAAAAAGTAGAGAATATGGTGGACACTAGATGGAGCAACATTCCAAGTAGAATAATCCTTCCTAACAAAACACTTCCAGTATTTATAAAAACAAATCATGCATAGAGAAATAATCACTCATAATTACAGAACACAGCTTACCTGGACACATTTTACAGGGAAATATAAATGGCTCTGAATATCTCAGAGATGTGGATATCTTGGAAAAAAGAGGCAAGACAAAGATTTAAATAAATCATAGTCATATGGGGTATAGGCTGAACTGTTCCCCCCAAATCCCTATGTTGAAGTCCTAATCCTTGATACCTCATAATGTGACTGTATTTGGAGCTGGGATCTTTAAGGAGGTAAATAAGTTAAAATGAGGCTATTAGGGTGAACCCTAATCCAATATGACTGGTATCCTTATAAGAAGAGGAAATTTGGACACAGACACGGATGGAGAGAAGACAAAGTGAGACACAGGAAGAAGACATTCACCTACAAGTTAAGAATAGAGGCCTGGAACAGATCTTTCCCTCAGGCCCTTCACAAGAAACCAACTCTGTGAACCTTGACTTTGGACTTCTCACCTCCAGAATTATAAGAAAAATAAACCTCTGTTGTTTAAGCCACCTAGTCTGTGGCACTTTGTTAGGTCAGCTTTAGCAAGCTAATATATATGGAAAGGAAGACTAGAATGTAAGCTTCACGAAGGCAGGAATTTTTGTCTTTTTTGTTTTTTGATATATCTATTCCAAGAACCTAGAACAATCCCTGGCAGATAATAGCGTTCAATAAATATTGGCTGGAGAACTAATAAATAAAGCAGATTAATACAATTCTTCCCATAGATGACTCTATCAAATACCACCAATGTTTCAGTACTGCTTTTTATTTTCGAAAGACCTGAGAACCTGGGTTCCCAGTGCTCTTACCAAGTGCTGAGATGTAACTGGTCTGCCACCACAGCCCAAATATATAAAATCTCTGGTGGATCTCTTGTTATGAATCAATTCCTGGAGTCACTTCCTGAAAAAGAGAAGACCTAAGAAGACAAACATACAGCTGTAATACAATAAATACGAATTAGTCTGCATAGAGAAACTGATAGATCTTGTTGGTCCCATCCTGGGGAAAATGCCACAAACAGATGTAAATTGCTGGTATTGCTGTTCCCTCAAAAATATCTGGTTAGTTGATTTCATGAAAGCCATTGAGAACAGACTGGATGTGCAATTTAAAGGAAAAAAATAAATAAGGGCTTTCCTGTTGTTTCATTAAAGCATTTCTTGTGTGGATACAGGAAAAAGACTAATTAAATTTCCTTCTGAATTATTCAATTATGGATTCATGGTGTATGTCTCTCTTCAAACTGATCTCCATGTCTGAATGTCATCACTATGACCATCAATCAATTTCGTACCCTGAATATGCTAGGGAAACAGCAAAAACATAATAAAAATAAACATAATAAAACATAAAGAAATATGGAGTTTATACTCTGATTTTAACTTACCTGCAACTATCCTTTAAACAGCAGAGGAAAAATTCACCCGACTGTAATAGTTCTGCTGGAGGTGATATGATTATAAGTAATTAATGGAAGAAAATTTAGGATTAGAAATTCCTTCCAAAGAAGAGGATGATACACTTATACAGAATATGCTTGAGAAAGCCTGAATAAGCCAGTTTCCTTGGAAAGTGAAATTCAACATTCTAAAACCAGAATCTGGAAACTCTCATCTATTCTCAAAGTAATTTAAAAATCAAGTCAAAGCTTGTTCTCAGTTTTGGGCCTGGAATTAGTTCCTGAACTGATGCAATCTGAAACCAGAGCCCACAAGTGTTTACCAAAAAGTCTTTGTCCCAAAGGGAGAAGCCTTTCTTCTAATTCTCCATTCCTCTGGGATTGTCTCGAGGCTTGAGCAAAAGTAGCAGGTAGGAGTACAAACATTAAATTATTTTGAAATATTTTCCTCTCCAGCAAAAACGAAAGCTAAATACTTTTTCACTATATGCCATTTGTAATCAACCCTCCTCCACTGAAGGGTTTAATTAGCTGCCTGTACATTTGCTCCTCTTTCCTGGGAACCACAGCATAAACAGGAAGTTCATTCCTCTGGGGCTTATTCGTTGTGAAATAGAGAAAATGAAGCTGTGGACGTTTTCAAGGATGATTTAGAGTAGGAGGATCATTAAATTACCATACTCCCCTCTTTATCTTCTCCAGGAGGCTTATAAACCAAGTGACTGCACAAGCTGTACTTTTTAGTTAGGAATATAAACAGTTCCTTGCCCAGATGTGCCTGGAAGTCAAGAGTTCTGCATCAGACTTTTATCACAGAGCAAAGATGACCAGCCGCTCGCTCTCTTAACATTTGCTACAATTGTGTGTCCTCCAGTTTTTCTCCTGACAGCCACAGGGCTCCAGAGCTAAAATGAGAAAGTCTACCATTTCATAATACCCAAACACCACAAAGTGTTGGCTATTATACAACCAAATAATGAGCACATTAGGAACGAGAAAAAAGTGCTCCTTACAAAGGAGATCTTTGTGGTGATGGAATAGCTCTAGTCTTGATTGCAGTGGTGGTTTTAGGAACCTATGCATGTGACAAAGTGGCATAGAACTAAATAAATACACATCTTGAGCCACTGTCAATTTCCTGGCTTTGACGTAGTTCAGTAAGATGTAAACACTGGGAAAACTGGATGGACGGTATACACATAACCTCTATGTAGTCTTTGCAACTCCCAGTGAATCTATATTTTGAAAGAATGTTTTAAAAGTGCGCCTTCTTGTGTACATCAACATACTTTGAACATTTTGCATGAGGACAAGTCATGGAGAACAGCCTGGTTTCAAATGCGAGGTTTCACCCACAACCCAACAAAAAGCTTGAGGTTGGGAATACCCTTGCATATGCCTTTCCTTCTGCCTGGGAGTCCCTTTCCGACCTCCTGCACTGTGTGTCCCCTCTCCCAGGGCTGGCTCCTTCTCATCTCTGTCACATGTCAATGCCACCTTGTCCCCCTAACTAAAGTAGATTCCCTCTGGCACTGTCTGAAGACCGTTTTCCCTTCATTGCGTTCTTGTCACGTGTAACTTTTGGTTAGTTTACTTGGTTGCCTGCCTCCCCACTAGACTCTAAATTCCGTGAGTGTGGGCACGTGTCTGTCCCTTGCTTGCTCTGTCCCCAACAAGCACGCTGCTTGCAGATGTCAGGTGCACGGGAAGAACTTTGTTAGAATAAACGCACCTCATTGGACTTCACTCCCTTGGGCTGAGGGTGGTTCGCGTTCGCCCTCACACCCATGGCCTCTCGGCTCAGGGCTGCTGTCAGCTCCCTCAGCTCGCCACAGGGAGGCCCCTCGGGCTCCCGACCACCACTCGGACCCCATCCCGCCCAAGGAGGGCGCCATTTTCTTCTGATTCGCCGCCCAGAAGGGCGCCTTTTCCTTGTTCGCACCTTTTCCCGAGGCCGTCCCCTCAGCCCTCCCCCCAGAATCTCCAGCCGCCGCCGCAGGCCCCGAGGCCTCCGCTCCTTCCTTGCGGCTGGGGACCCCAGCCCAGGGCGCGCGCCTCGCCCCACAGGCCACGCCCCTCAGCCCCGGGAGCGAGCGGGACGCGCCCACCACGCCGCGCAGGAGGGGCGGGCAGCCCGGCGGGGGGTGGGGGCGTGTCCTCCTCCGCGTTGTACTTCGATTGGCCGGGCGGCGGAGAGGGGCGGGATTGCAGCCTGGGTGTCTGGCCCCGCTTCTGCTCAGGGCATTCTTCGCGGCTGCGGTTACGGTTTGGGCTGCTGGGGTGCGAGAGCGGCGACTCCGGTTGGGGCACCATGGCTGAGAAGCGGCACACATCGGATGCCGAAACCCGGCGGCAACCCGACTCCTTCAAGGGTGAGCCCTGCGTCCCCGCGAGACCCGTGGGGCCGCTCGCAGCCCGCTAACCCTCTCCTCGGGCAGCAGCCCCAGCCTGGAGGCTGTAGGGCGGTCTCTGCTGCCTCTCAGCGGTGCCGCGGTTGCCTGGCTCGGACGCTGAGCATAACGAGCCCCGCATCGAGGGTTGCGGGTCAGGTTTAGGGACAGTAGGGTGCTGAGTGCACAGCCCCGCGGCCGGCACTCGGCGGACGCGCCCACAGCTGGGCGTGTTTCTAGTAACAGAGCCCTAGGAGGGACTCGCCTCTTCCAGCGGTTGCGAGATGCCAGGCCGCGTGCCAGCGCTTTCCGTTCATTATCTTGTGGCATGCACTCGGACAAGTAAATGCATAAGTGACTCGCGGCTCGAGGCCCAAAGCCGCACCCCACCCCCGGGCCCCGCGTCTTCCCGGTCTCCCGACTTCCCTTCCTGCTCCATCCCCTCGGAGGTCCTCTCCTCCACCCAGCCTTTGCCCACCACCAGTTGAGCCTCCTTCTCCGGAATTGGAAAGAACTGCTCCCCATCCCCTCGCCAGTTTCATTTTAAGAAGCAAGACAGACCTGTGAGGTTTCGCCGCCAGCCCTCCGCACAGTGGACCATGTTTTCGGAAGACTGGTCTCTTTTTGACAGTCTTCTCTTATCTCTTACCCGCTTCACTTTCTGCCCCATCCTGCCCCCTCCACTTGACTAGGATAAAGTTTGTACTAGGATCCTGGCCTTTGGGGCTTCTGTCTCTCACCAGGAACTCTAAATTGCCCCACCCTACAAGGGCCTTCCCATCCTTGAAGGAAGAAGCTGTGAGTGGCTCAGTCTTGCTCCCCTGCGAAGGAACTAGTACCCTTGAGAGGGCTATCACCTTGAACCATTTATTGGCTAACTCCTTGGGGAGGGCCGGGGGTTCCAATAAAGAGAGGCAACACACCTCTCAGGAGTGCTGGTTCCCTCTCAGGGGCTCTTAGTGATCCAAAGGAATTATTTCTAAGGACAGAATTTAAAACGGTAACAATGTAAGGGGCTCGGTGGACTTTAACAGCACCTCACAAAGAACACTACTGGGATGGGACTCATCTGTTCTGATTATTTGTAAAGCCAACCTTATCCACCCATCCAGTATAAGTCCCATTTCCCTTGTCCAGCGATCCTTGTCTTTAGTCCTTCCCAGGAGCATCAAAAGAATTATAGAAATCCCCCACTTTCCTCCGTTAAGCACCTTGGAGAGTTATCTTCCCACATCAGTAGTGTAGCAACAGGAAGGATGTACTTGAAGAAACTGATACCCAAAGAGGTTACATTATTCCACAGCCACACAGTCGACAAGTAATAGAGCCATATTTTAAGTATGGGTTTGACTGACTCTAAAACTTGACCATGTGAAAATTGCACGGCCCACCTCTATGATAGTTCTTTTCCTGGTTAGGAAGATAGGAAGGATCCTCTCCTCTGTACCCTGATCTGGTGGGAGACAAAAGGTCTATGAGGACATTATTACAAGTTTGGTGAAACTGCACTGGGAAATCTGTTTGTAGTATGTCTTTGGGAATAACCATGATCTTTGTACTTAATGTTCATTTAGTTGTTTTTCCTGGTCACAGACCAGTTTTAACTCCTAAATTCTTTTTCTTGGTTCTGCCTTTTTTTTTAAAGACAGAATCTTTTAAGAATCTAATTAAAACTATGCACCTTCTCAGGAAATTATACATAACAAAATTTTGTTTGGTCTAAGCCATCCATTTTTAAATGAAAACCGTAGAGATCTCATACTGGTAGAAAAGCCATTAGTGGAATTTATTTAATAGAATTTATAGCATTCTTGCCATGTGTCAAACACAGCCTAAGTGCTTTACAAACGTTATCTGAACTGCAATCCTCTAAGGATTGCATAAGGAAACACTATCCACCATTTTACAGCAAGGAAACTGAGGCTCAAAGTGAAAAAGTCACACACATGTGTGATTTAGAGCTAGGTTTCAGACATGGGCTATCTGATTTTCCAAACCATTTTCCCTATCCTAGAGCTACCTCTAAAATGCGTACCCAAATGGAAGAACTTGTCAAACATCAGTACTTCATTGAAAGTAAGAGACAATAAAGCCCAAAGAAGTGTAGCTTCAATCAAGAACTCTGGGTAAGACAGCTCCAGAGGGCTGCTCCTGAGGGACGCAGTGGAATATAAAAGCCCAAATTCTGTCCCTTTATGCTTCTGCTGATAATTAGTCTTAGGAATGTAAATATGACCAAACTTTAGGCAAGATTAGTTTATAAAGCTAGTGCATTTGCTTTGTAATGAAATAATGTAGATGGATTGCAAAGAAATGTATTATTATAATTAAGAGCCATGTCAACAGAATAATCCCTTTGGGAGAATGCCTGAAAATAAGCAGAAGCAAGGGACTGATTTGTTTATTTCAGCTGTGTTACAATGAGATTCAAGAGAACTCTGTACCTTCTTTAATAATTAATCTGAGTTAAAACATCAATGGTCATAGATTAATGCAAACCAGTGACCAGTTCTGCTAAAGCTGGCATTTTGTTTTGTTTTTTGCTTTTTAAGATTAAATAGGTTCTTATTACAGATAGACTATTTGTCTGAGATACCAGTAAAGAGATTATAATTGTCAAGATAGTACATTGCACTTAATAAGGAATCTCCTTTTATTTATTAAAGTATGGAAAGAGAAGTTACAGGTCACAATCAATAAAAAGAATGAAGTTTTATTCATTTTGAACCTTTGTCTATACTCTGGAACTAGTAAAGACACTTGAACTACAAGCATTTGGTTTGACGTGTCAGTAGATTAGCCTTAAATGTACAAGCAATAAAGTGTCCTAAAGTATCAGACAATGAAAATTATATCACCTTTGTCCAGTTGTGAATTTGCACTTATGGTAAAATGGTATAGTATAGTGAAATGAGAGTAGAATTTAGAACTCAGAGATCTGAATTGAGATCTGAGATCTCAATACCAGCATTTATTACCTGGGTCACCTTGAGCAAGTCTCTCAACCTCCACAGTCAATTCTTCATCTATATGTTGGGCATAATCTTAACTGTGCTGTCTATGTACAGAGGTTTTGAGTAACAAATGATTAAATTTTTGTGAATGTACTTTTGAAACTTTAAAATATTAAGATATTACTTAATGGGGCAAACAAAGAATAAAAAAGATAATGATTATTCAGAAAGCCTACTAATTATACAGAAAATTAAAATTTTTGGACAAAATGTTGTATGAAAGACAATCTGAGAAAGTTTGGAACTTTGACTTACCT